GGAGCCACAAACGCAGGAGGAGCTCGAGAAGAAACATGGGCGCATCAAAGATCTCAATGGGGTATGCACGTGATCGCTATTCCGCTTCTGTTCTCTCACTCATGTGGCAACGCAGAGATTATTGCTCGCTACATGAAGTATCATGCCCGAAAACTGCGAGGGAAATTCTTCCGCCCTGTCGCCAACAGTCCTTACACCGTTCTTTTCCATCGCCTGAAGGCAATACCCAAGGCGAAGCGCAAACTTCAGCCCCAACAACAGTACCAGCATGAACACACCGTAGAGTTGCGCTCGGTTTACCTTGCGGAGGCCAATCGCATCAACGAAGCCAATCCTGGCGCCAAACCCGTCGTTATCAACGCTCCCTTCCGGCAAAAGGTGGTCAAGGATATTTTCACAGCATTGCCCGAGGAAAGCCAAAAGGAGTATGCGGAGCGTGCGGAGGCAGAGGCAGCAGCCAACAAATCCAAGGTTTCGATCTACGACAAGGAAGGACTCCCAATGACTCCAGAGTTTCGTGAAGAGTGGGTTTTTTCAAGACGAGATTTGGCTGCTAAAGCGCTCGATTCACAGATGCATGCAAGACTTCAAGGATTTCATTTGGCCCATCGCGACCAGGTTTACGGAGATTACTCAACTCCATTTCTTTTGCATGGTGGGCGGCTTGAAACCGACAGAGAACGGTGGCGAAATTTGGACATCCTCGTAAGTTGTTGTCGGCTTATTGAATGACCAAGTATGACACCTTCTACAGGGTTTATAATGGCGTGAATCGCGCCACAGATCCAGTTTCCTGGCCGGCCTCCGATAAACCTCGATTCCAGACAAACGTCGTCGATTTCTTTCGCGAATATCTGGAGGGAGCTTTCAGTGAGTGATCCTTTTTTATTTATTTCAGTTCATCTTCTGACCAGCTGGATACAGGCGACAAGGAACGAGCTGAAGCAACGTTGGGTAACAAAGACGCTGTTGCAGCAAAACCTGTTATCCCCCAACCCCAATTCGATCAACTTATCCGTCTTCCTACCGAGGCCCCCGACGACCACGACGAGAATTTGAGTTCCGCGTCACTGCCTCAGACCTGGAGGGTTCCGATGAAGACAGCTCAGACTCGGACATGTCAGAGAATGAGTCGGACTCTGAAAGTCCGAAGAAGCGCAGAGATAAAGCAAAGGCGCCGATGAAGACGAAGACTAAAGCCACCACAACGAAGACAGCGAAGACTAAAGCCGCGACTACAACAAAACCCAAACCAAAATCCACTCCCTCCACCGTCGACTCTGCGGCCAATACCAGCGGTAGCTCCTCCCAAGCAGGTCCCTCGACCCTGGCTCAAACAACTACCCCCTCGGGTCCGAATGGTCTCGTTGTGGCCGGCGAAACTTCTGGTCAATCAGAGTCCAGGGGTCGAAAACGTGGGCGTGACGATGCAACAGAACAAGATGTTGCAAAGCGCCCAAAACGCATGACGGAATCCGCCGCCCGAAAAGAAAAGGCGTCTTGCAGATGAGGCATCGGAGAAAGCCAAGCTACTCGCGGGAGAAAGAGCAACGAAAGGAGAAGGCCTACCAGAAGAAGCTTGCCAAAGATCGAGCGGATGCCGATAAACTATTGGCGGGCTACAGGCAAAGGATTGCGAATGAGGAGAAAGAGGCAAAGGAGAAAGAGGCGAAGGAGAAGGAGGCGAGGGAGAAAGAGGCGAAGGAGAAGGAGGCGAGGGAGAAAGAGGCGAAGGAGAAGGAGGCGAGGGAGAAGGAGGCGAGGGAGGCCAGTGTTATTCAGCCCACGAACAAGACACTCGCTGTTCCTGGCCCTGTCACTGCGCCTGTTGTCAACTCCCCTGTACAGAGCAACGACAAACCCCCAGACTGTCCTTCCGATGCTCCTGCCTGGTTCACCAAGATCTACTCCGACATTACGGGGGTCAATTTGGGACCGAAGTTCAACCGCCTCTTACGGAGTCTCATTTTACTCGAAGCTGCATACGGCTTCCTCGATCGCCCTACCAAGTCCTCTGGTCGCAATCGCCCTGTTTTAGTAGCCACATGGTTCAAGACGGGTCGCATCTACAAGGCCGACAAAATGACAATGCCAAACCCAGTCGAGTTCGGCCAGGAGTGGGTCGCCTGGTGGCGGAGCTTGCAACCGTCATGGCGAAAAGCCAATGCCGATGGCAGTCTCTCGCGGTTGGAACCGAATAACCCAGATTGGGGTTCATTGGCCTTGCCGGGATCAAGTGGGATGGGTGTTCTGGTTGCGTCGCTCAGCTGGTGGGGTCGAAAAGTCTGGGACAAGAAAGTATCTGAGTGGGAGGCAGCGGTGGATGAGGTTGAGTGGGTGTTGGAACGGCTGAGAGCGGCGTCTGCGACGACGTTGACGGGACTAAAGACTCAACGGCAGTGATACTTATGCAGCACATAATATCAATAATACAATTATCTCCTGTGGCTACTACGTCCATTTTGTCGTTAAATGTCGAAAAGCACTGATCTGTTGACTTTGACTCTTGCAAGTGAGGAAGTGACTAAGGTGGCTGCGTTGGTGTGACAAAGCTTAAATTTGCTCTTCTTCTTTTCCACTCATCGTCCTTACAATGCCTCCGTGGGCAACGGGACTGAAGCAGCCATGGGGACAGGGAAGGAGGTGAGTGAAAGCAATACTGCTGTCTCCCTTGTCTAACTTAGGTATACTACACAGACCATCTGAAGAACGCATATACGCAAAAGGGAAACTTTCCCGCCAAGACCGCGCCTTAGCTCGTGCTCTTGCAAATGCGGGTTGGACGCGAACAAGTGGGAACTGAGCTTGAAACTGGGACTGGGAACATTACTCGGGCTGTCCACAATGAGACGCCAGCAAAAGATACATTAGCGAGATGGGCAATATTTGGACAAACAACGATACAAGGAATTGACCGGGACGGATTGGGCAAGTGAATCATGGGGGATTTCGATTGGCTGACCCTAAATAGCAACCGGATTCCCAACCTGAACATGCTACCAGCGAAGATGAAATTGCTGAAACGGACAACGAAGAGGAGAATACGAACGACAGGGAGAATGTCGCGGGCCGTGAGGTACATGTGCGTTGAGAATCTTTTTCTTAGTTATTATTGACCTATATATCTATAGGACAACGACGAGGATAATATCAAAGACGAGGAGAATATACACGACAAAGAGAATATCGCAATCGACAAGGATATAGACGAAGAGAAGATTGGCCGAGGTGAAAGCGAAACAACAGCCAGCATGGAACCCGACGAGTCTCTGTCCGTCGTTGAAGGCGATATACTGCAGGCATCAGGTCAACCGCTCGAGGGAGACGAAAAAGCACTATCAAGTTTCTTATATCAACCACCCTATATTGACTGGAGCAACAAACTCGAAAATTTCAACGCCCACGACATTTCCACCCTTGAAGACCTGATGCTCTTGAAGTGGTGGCCGCAGGAAGAGGTGGATGAAGCACTGCTACTGCTGTTCTCCCGCAACACTTACAGTTGGATATCGGACGGGGAGCAGCAAAAGCAACCACACTGCCTCGGCGCTTTCGACATCGTTGTGCTCGGCCTGCTCATTAAAACGACAGAGTATCGGGAGCCGTCTCCAGATAGCTACACCGTAGTCCTTCCTACCGGTTTCGATCCCGGCTTTGCAAGATTCCTTGTCCAAGTCAAACCGACCGTCGACTTTGGAGAGCGACTGAATTTGTTTGCTGCGGTGGGCTGGACCAACTTCAATGCGATACAACAATTTGCTGGGTGGGAATTTGCCGCAGTCTTGTCGACTCTCGAATTCACGCTGCGTGCCCCATTTCGCCGCAATGGTCCTGAATGGGTTGGGCGGCACCTTAGAGACATTGGAGGAGGTGGATTGAAGATGATCGAGGTGGTGGCACTCGCGCAAGAGATGCGGAAATGGCTGGCAGCTCAAGGAACTCCTTTGCAGCGTGGTCGTCGCGTAACTTTGATAACTCTTTGACTTGGACTGCTTTTCTCTCTGTTGGACAACGAATCCTTATTACATACAGTAGGTACAAATACGATATGCTTTGTAACTCGCCACATTGACTCGAAATTGATATTCTGAATGGCGCGTGAATTTGAGAGGGCTCCGAGTTGTGGAAAAATATCGATTGAGCGGTTCGGGATGTTTTGGTAGTCGACAGTATAGTCAGGATGATGCGAAAAAAAAAGAGTCGCAGTTAATGCGCGGAAAGTGGGGGGAGGCTGCCTCGCCGCCTCGCCTCAGAAGAGAAGCAATGTGAGGGGAGGAATTGTGCAGTTGCTTGAACCAAGTTTCCTGGAACGGTCGTCATGTTTTGCAGACGCGGTTACTGGCCCATAATATCGAATGTCGAATGCGTCACAACAAACCAAAAAGGGTGGACTTTAGATACAAATATTGGGTTGATGTGGCCCGCATGCCGCGTGCCGTTCAAGCCGTCTTTTCCTGCCCGCTGATTGCCTGGTCGCAGCCAGCCGAGGAGCAAAGCCTTTATTCCGTGGCTATTGCCAGAGGGTGGCTGGTGCCAGCCCATTTGGAATCAAATAGCCTGGCAACTGCCACAGGTTTATTGCAAATACTTACAGCGTGGGCTCCTTCCTATGGATGTCTAATATTTTCATTTCTTGTGCTTATTCTGTGTAATGAGTGCTCATTGAGTTGATGGTTTTACAGAATGCATGGTATTCTACTTGGGCTTGTCTTTAGTATGTTCAAGTTATGTTCAAGTGGTATAACTTGTGTTACCAGTAGCTGCAAGATAGAAAATTTGTTTGAACTCAACAAGCAAGGCTTATGTTTTCCAGTCCACTGGTAATTTCCTTGAGATTGTGGTCTCAAATTCTTATTGATTCCTCTCAAATGCAAAACTCACGGCTACTTAATAGTCTCTAATGTTCTGTTTCTTACCCCATTTGAGCTCTTGTTTCCATTTTGCCACTATGGTGTGCGTCTAGAGCCAGATCGCGTGATGTTGAGAGGGTGTTCGGCTGTTCCTTGGCCAGAGCCGCCATGTTCACTCGATTATGCCAGCGCCGACTAATCCCGGGCCTCAACAGACACTTCTCAATTTCGTCTTTGCGCCAGGAGGCTCCTCCACCAAATTTACGAAGCAGTTTTGCTTCTGTACAGCCCAGAAAACTCGGCCCGAGCGCGCCGAAACCACCTGCACCCGAACTCCCAACTCCAGGATGGTTCCGTTATTCGCCATGGTCAGACAAATTTCAGGGGTCCCACAAGACGCGTGTTTTGCTGCAAGCGCTTCTATATGCCCTCGTTATCGCGCAGGCAACCAACTACGTTGACTCCACTCTATTCGTGCGTGTTGCTTTTCTTCACAGTGGCGCTTGTCAATGACACAGTTCAAGCCAAGCAAGTCAGAAGAGGCTGCCCCAAAATATGCCACCCCTTCACAACTTAAAACGGCCATTGAAAAGCTACGCCAAACATTTCCTGAGTCGGGACGCGTCGACACAAATCCAGATGCGGTCAAAACTGCCGGGTCCAGCGAGAACTCTTACCATCCATCCTCTGCCCACTCTGTCATCGTGCGACCCCAATCTACTGAAGATGTTGTCAAGGTGGTCAACATCGCTCGCGAATTCAAGGTTGGCTGCAACTTCTAGTCGCCGCTGCGGCGCTGCTCTTACCCATTGGAAAAGGTTCCTGTCACGGCCTACTCGGGTGCAACCAGTCTGGAAGGGCATTTCTCTGGCGTGAGCGAGTCTTCTTCCGCCGTTTTCTTGCATTCATCGACTCACAGTATCCCTCGGGAAGTATTTGCCTCGACCTCTCTGGCATGGACAAAATCCTCCATATCAACGAAGACGACTCGGACCTCGTTTGTCAAGCCGGAACGCGTTGGGAGGACATCAACCAAACACTGAAGGCTAAGGGGATCCCCTTATTTTTCCCACTTGACCCTGGACCTGGTGCGGTAAATCCATTCCATTATTCCCTTGGTCAGCATTAAACACGGAATCAGACAATTGGCGGAATGGTAGGAACAGGATGCAGCGGCAGTGAGTTGTTTTTGCTGTTTGGAGTGTAATTTAGCATTATGGCAGCAAACGCCGTGAGATATGGGACAGCAAAGGCCGAATGGTTCCTCAACCTCGTACGCTCGTTGTTCATTCAAATACCACATCCAATGTTCGCAGACTGTGGTATTACCCACCGGTGAAGTTATCAAGACGCGAAGGAGGAGTCGCAAGTCCTCTGCTGGGTGGGATGCGACGAAACTATTCATCGGAGCAGAGGTTTGTTGTCTTGCTTTTTGTCGATATGCCATTTCATTTCACTATAGGGTACCCTCGGGATCGTGACTGAAGGTACAGACAATCAAGTCAGCAAAAGGCTGGCCTAAATAAGCACAGCGACTCTCCGACTAGCGCCGGCATTACCGACTAAAGTCGCTATGGCACAATTCCCAGATGTCAGACAGGCCGTCAGTGCCGTCCAGGAAATCTTAAACACCTCTTATGGCCCGCATGTCCGTGAGTGTGCCCTGATCTCGTCGACCCATGGCTTGACTGTTTCATAGAATGCGTCGAATTATTAGACGACAACAGTATGCGTTCTTCGCTAGGTGGAATACTCGTTTATATCTGGTTATAGTGATGGAAGCAATAAACAAAGCCGGACTCGTTGACCAGGCATATCCTGTGCAAGACACACTTTTTTTCAAGATTCAAGGAGACGAAGCCGCCATTGATCTCACATCCAAGACTATCAAAACTATCGTTAAGAAACACGGAAGCAGCAAGTTCAAGTTTGCCGCAACCGCTGACGAGGCAGAGAATCTATGGCAGAACCGCAAATATGCGTTGATGTCGACGCTCGCGGCTCATCCTGATTCGCGATGTTGGACAACGGATGTCTGGTGGGTTTATATTTCTCAGTCAGTATCATTGCTCAAATTACTCCAGCGTTCCGGTGTCTCGCTTGCCTCAGCTAGTCCTCGAAACCAAGAAAGATCTCTCCGAGACGGGCCTCAACAGCACTATTGTCGGACATGTCGGAGATGGGAACTTTCATGCATTAATTTTGTTCCGCGACGACGAGGAACTCGAGAAGGTGAACCAGGCGGTTCATCGCATAGTCCACCGCGCACTAGCCATGGACGGAACTTGTAGGTTATCTAAATTGATCTCTAGGTTTGGCTGAGGAACATTTCAGGCACGGGCGAGCATGGCGTCGGTGTAGGCAAGAAAGAGTATCTCAGCCAGGAGCTGGGTCCGGGAACGATCGCCTTAATGAAGCAGGTTAAGAAGGCAGTCGATCCCGACAACATTATGAATCCGGGCAAGGTGAGCGTGGTTTTTGGCTTCTGGCTGTTTCTGACGAGTCAACAACTAGCTGTACCCAGACTAGTAGACTATCCAAGCAAGAAAACATTGTTGCCCCATTTCGTCCATCTTTGCTTTACTGAACACAGTTGACTGGTGGCTCGACAAGGATGACATTCAGTGCAAGTCGCGAAAGCGATATTATTTCTCAGCAGTCACAAGCTTCTGCACTATTTTTTTGGGCTACGTCTAAGGCATCTCGAACGCATTTTAATATTGCTTCAGTGTCCTCCATTCCGACGCTGATACGAACCTGCTGCAGATAAGGTATGTGTAGTGCAATAGAGACCCACTAACCAGATACTCTTCGACACCATGCTGTTCAAGCCACTCCATTTTGTCTGGAGGGAAAGCGATCGCCGACCAGGCTGTGGCCAAGGTAAAGATGGCGCCAAATGTCGGGGTTCTGTAGCACTGCAGCGACGTGTAGAATGCTTTGGCGGCTTCGAGAGAAGTAAAGGTGACGGAGAGAAGAAAACCATATCCCGTTTCTTCGAGCCCAGCGTCGCCGGCTAGAGGATTCCGCACCTGGTCGAAGTTTTTGCGGGCGCGGTATTTGGGGTAATGGACCTATAAAATGTTCAGTGGTCTTGAGAGTACAATCATAAATCTTTCTGTTACCGCTTCCAGCACGGACTCGCGTGCCCCGCCATGTCGGGAAAGCGGATACAACATATCGCTCAGCATTTCGGCATTACGATTAGTGACAGCAATCCGTTGCACGTATTCCCTCGAGTTCATTTCGAGAACGAGGGCGTCATGATCGAACAGAGCGTCTTCATACGTTATTTCGAGAGTCCTCTTGAATCGGGAATAAAATAGCGATGAAGGGTTCAGCAACATCCTGGAAAAAAATGAGTGAAAGCACAGGCCAAGGGATGATAGACCATACGCGCCACCCAATACGTTGGCTAAACCGCTGAAGAGCTTCGTTAGACTGCTCACAACTACGTCACAATACGGTAAGAGCTGAACATTCAGAAAGCCGCCAACACTTTCATCCACAATGAGGGGAACGCCATAACGATTGGAGAGAGCCTAAAGCAAGTCAAGCGGGATATCAACTTTGTTGAGGTGGGTCGCCCTACATGAAGTCTGATGATATCGGTGCTCAACAAGTGTGGATTCCCGGGGAAATCGGTATAAATCGCCAGAACAGCTGGCTGGGTACGCGTCCCAGTGCTGAGCAGGGTTTCGAGTTCATCCAAAGTCTCATTGGTGAAGAAGTGATGTCCAGGCGCGCCAGGGAGGTCGACATATTTGTAGATGTCGCAATACAAGAGACTAAGGGTCTTGAGAAACTCGGTTAGGATGGGGATGCAGGAATGACTCACTTGACATGCGCAACTTTGACATCTTTTTCTGAAGAGCCGAAGACATTCTGGAGCAGCTTGTAGGACTGCCAAATGGCATGCATCCCAGAAGAGTACAAGTATACGTCTTCCGCCGTTACCCCTGCAACACCTCGAACATTTACACCACCAAAAGTTCCAGAAAACCGAGTCCGTAGCGCTTGCTTTGCTGCCTCTGGAGAAGAAAGAGGCGCGTGCTTGACATAATAGTCTCCAAAACAATGGTCGCCATTGGATTGCGGAAGGCTCAGAGGCTGACTAAAGTTGCCTTCCGCCCGCTGCACACAGATCTCTGCAAGACGCGGAGAAATCCCACAGCCGGCAAATATGTAGAACTTCATAGCGTCTTTTAACTCCGTTGTGAATAGCGCGGCGAAAAGAGAGTGGTTGACTGGGACATTTGCTATGTCGGTCACATTTTGCACTAGACACGAAGCCCCAGAAACGTTTGTTTCAAGGTGGATGCGGAACTCGTGGGCCAGCCGGGCCGTCGGAAAGAGAAAGCAGCGTTGGTTTTTGCTTGCCCCCAGTGCATTTAACACAATGGTTGAAAGCTAGAGAAAAATTAGACCATGCCATCAGAATATAGGTTGTGCAAATACTTTTTCAACGTGAGGGTGGATTGAAAACCGATGGTAGGTACTTTCCGCTTTCGTCCTGAGTTTGACCGCTTCAATTCTGCTCGTCACCAAGTCAACATTGTCCTCCCATCGTGGCAACGAGTTGCATAGTGTATGCGGCGTATGAGGAGGAAGGCAGCTTCCCGTTGGAGGAGTGGATTCTGGCAGCATTTGTAACGGACCAGTGACAAGAGTGCACGTGGAAATGCCCAGAGCATATATACGACGTGCCAAATGGACTAATAGTGGATGCGGTTAGATTATGCAGATTGCCTGAAAGTAGTGGATGAAGAGCTTACCTACTAGAGTACGAAGAAAAATGCTGCCACAAAGTGCCACAACAACTAAGTGGCCGAGGCTACCATTCGGAAATCGTCGACTCTCTGGCGAACAGCAATAAAAGCGACAGCCTCCGGGGTTAACATCAGTGTGCAGCAGCAATCGCTTGGCCTTTGCTGTTTAGCCACGACCAACAACATCATATAGCATCAAAGAAAACCGGTCTACACCCAGTCTGGTGCCATATCAAACACGAGTGTGCAACCTTGAGTATGGTTGGAGACGTGTTTGGGTTGCCTCTTGTTATCGCTTCGTTATGGTCGTTTCGGTCAACAAGATATGTATTAGTCAGCAGGGATCAGTTTCGTTCATTCCAATTGTTTCCACTGTATGCAAAAAAGTGTACATAATGGACTACTTTTGACAGCAAAATAGCCATTCGTCCCAAAGGTTTGTAATGTAATCACACCAAATTGAAAGCGCTTCGCAACTATAGTATAGCGCCCACTCGTCCAGTTCTTAGGGTTAACTGCTCCAATTTCACCTGATGTCAAAGCCCGAAATGCCTTTTGTTTGGGTTTGAATGCAGGTGGCCGCCATTCCTAAAGTTTTCCGGAACTGCAAATGTTATTGTGTCCGTTTGCCATACGCCTGGAATCTCCTCGTGAGCGTCGGCCCCCTGGTTCTTTCCTCTCCGCTTGTCATGGGCGAAGCTTGTTCCATGTAGCGTAGGACGACTGGTTTTTGTGCGAGGATAATCTTGAAGATCTGGGCCGTTCGTTCCACTTTGTCTTCGTCGAGAATAATACGGAAAGGAGACTCGGGAACGCAGAAGGTTGGGGCATTCGAAGCCCGAGAGCGACCAAAGATCAGCGACTCATGTGGCTTCAGCACCTTTGGTTCCATACCCTCATCCTCACGCAATGGCGAGTACAGTTCCTGGCAGTAATGTATTAGTCGTGTAGCTGCTGAAAACTGCACCCTTACAGTTATTTCGTAGGTGTCTGTATCGAAGTGAAAGACATATGGGTACATGCTCTGGTCACTGGTGTTGGTGATTTTGAGACCTAGCAGGTGGTCGTTCGGAACGTCGTCCAGAAGGGCAACGCCGTTATGTAAGATGTTTTCAGAGATCCATGCGTCATCTTCGCCGTCTCCCTCCTCGTCTGGTTTGAAGTGGTATATCTCGATAGACGATGGAGAGTCAGATTTTCTCCATTGTCGAAGCGCTCGGAACCGCTGAACCCAGGAACGCTTGCAAGATGGACGAAGATTCAGGTAGTAATTGAATCGCGCAACACCATTTAACACTTGAGGAGTTTTCGCTAAGGCGAATGGTATCGATAGGGTACCGTACCGAGCAGTCAATCGGTCAAGGCGTTGCATGTTTGCTTCAGTTTGACTCGAGGTCCGCACAACGACATTCGCGTTCCATCTTCTGGAGGCATGGAAAAGTGGATCCTCCACCGAATCGACGCCAAGATCGACATTCGAGGAAAATACACGTAGTTTGGTGATAGGGAGAAGTTTCGGGGGCATAAAGAGGAGGCGGTCCAGATATGGACCATAGCAGGCAGAGACTTGACCTGCGGTACCTATTTCCCAGTTTTGGGTACGCACGGTGAGCTCTCGACAGCTTAATAGCCAGGAGGACCGCATTGCAGAAACCATACTCTGAGTGAAAAACGCTCCACTTGGAGTTTCGGCACAATGTTTATTCCTATTGCTGGCAGCGATAAGCACATAGGATTGGTTGTCGAAGAATCCACGGTAGCCAACCAGGCTATTTTCACGACGGAGATCTGCGAGATGGGACGGCCATGAGGGGGTTTGGATTCGACGTATGTTGGCCGCGGACAATATGAGAGCTGGGGAGAAACAACAGTCCAAAATAACTGTCTGAGGAAGATTCAATGAATTCTTGACAGAGACATACATAAGTGAGGACTGACGACATTGGGGCCTTTGGCTTGGACGAGCATGTTCAAAAGCCCATGAAGAGTAACGTCGAATATTGGTGGAACGTCCTGTGCATAATCATACGGTATCAGCGCATCTACATCCCTCTCTTTTCCTTCGAATCGCTGCCCATAGCCAGCGAAGTAAATGAGAATCGGGTCATCAACCAAGATATGATCATTTGCTATGAGGTGTCTCTTCAACGAATCGAGTATGCCTTTTCGAGTTGCTGCCTGATTCGTTAGACTCAAAATTTGTGCGTCTGGGTAGCCCAACAACAGAGCGTCTCGCAGGGACATGACATCCTTTTCGCAGCCTTGCAGATTCTCAATCTCGGGGTGGGCACACTAATGGGTTTGCCTCCATCAGTATTTCTTCAACCAAGAATACGACTCCACCTCGTCGATGCCTATGCACAAGGCAAACAGTTGAGGAGGCATAGTTCACTGGAAAGAAAAAAGGCCATCGCGTCCATTTATCTTGCTTGTTACAGCGCTGAAACCGGCGAGTAGTCCACAAAACAGCTTTTGGCAGCACGAGTCTGCAATGACATGGTATTAATTCATTCAGCTTGCTATGTAGATGGACCTGGTAGACTATTGAGTAAGCGAAGACCGCGCGATTTAGCTATTGACCTGGCTGCTATTCACCTTGGCAAAGTTCAAGTTGATTTGCGTGACAGTCACGTAGTCACGCAAATCAATCTTATCCTCGATCCTATGGTCTGTGCGCAGCACTCGTTTCTGGCTCGCACTTATGGCTCGATTGTGTTAGTCTCACACCGTCGATATTCCCCAGGTATGGAGAAGAACTCCCACCTATCCATCGTAGAAGCTCAATATCTTCCACTGGCAGGCGCTCAAGGACTCACTTCGCAAGTTTCGTTTCCGACGCAGCAAAGGCAGTTCCGCATTGGTAGTGAAGATCAATAAAGCTCAATTAATCATGGAGGAGGCTGAGCTGCTTGACGATATCACCATTGAGGAGCTTGCAGAGGGTGCGTCTCGTTGACCTGGTTGGCCCGAATTAGACTTTTCAACGTAATGCAACAGAACTACCAGAGAACAGCCCACGCTACGTCGTACTCAGCTACGAACTCAAGCACAAAGACGGACGTGTCAGCTACCCGCTTGCGCTCATCGACTGGAAGCCTATTTCAAGCGAAATCGGAATGTTGACACTCCATGCATCTGCGCTACTTGACTTCCAATCGGCAGTACGTGTTTCTCCCCCCACTTTTTGCCCAATATGCACTCATCTTCACTTGAGGCTGATGTGAGCAAAGTGATTGAGATGCGGGACGGTCCGGAGGGTTTGACGACCGAAGTCATCGATGCTAAACTGCTTGGATAATGGTGTTCTTTGCGGATCCCCGGCTCATGACTGACGTGCGAAGTACTTCCCTTCTTTATCTGTGTAAATTCTGTGCGAGACCGATTTGGGCCGCAATGGGCTTCTATCGTGTGCTATAAAGGACTCGTCCAATCGAATGTCTGTCCAACATCCACCATGTCCTCCCTTTTCACCCCTCTCAAGCTTGGAAGCATCACTATTTCCAACAGGATCGGTATGATCATTCGCACTCAAACAACTCCATGTCCCATCCATCGCTTTAGGTATGAGTGCCTTGACACGTAATCGCTCTAGCGCAACCGTCCCGAACGAAGTAATGCTCGAGTACTATTTCCAGCGGGCCAAGGGTGGCGCGGGCTTCATCATCAGCGAAGGAACTCTTATTACGCGTCAAGGGTAAGCAATTGACAATTTTGGTTGTACGCATAAGCTTACTCTGTGATTTTACTTAGTACCGAGTGGCAGGCGGCGCCTGGTGTTTGGAATGATGCACAGGTGGCAGGATGGAAGAAGATAACCAACGCGGTTCACGGAGCAGGTAGTAAGATGTATTGCCAGGTCGGTATCCCTCCATCCATCCCAGATCAACTGTTTATCAGCGTCTAGGTTTGGCATCGTATGTCCTCCATAGACGGTTGCATTTCGGTGGTTGACCCGTTGTAGTCGGCCGTGTTTCCCACCCCGATGCGCCAGAGCAGATCGCTGCGGGCGAGGTGAGATTTCTTGCCCCGCGCAACGACTAATCAAATGCTTGCAGCCCGTTTACGCACCATCCGCAATAAGCGCTCGTGGCGGCAAGTTCAGATTTCTTCCAGGGAAGCCGGGCTACGTCAAGGTGATGGCTGTTTCGCTTTCCTTTCGAAGCTCACTCGAAAAATAGCCCACGGAGCTTCCTGATCCAACGGTGATCATCGAGCAGTTCAAGCAGGCTGCCATTCACGCAAAAGAGGCTGGGTTCGATGGCGTCGAATGTTGGTGTTTAATCATTGGTTTGCTTTGCCAGAATTTGATGTCCTTGTAGTGCATGGCGCGAATGGCTACATCGTGCACCAATTCTTGGATTCAAGTTCGAACCAACGCACTGACAAATGGGGTGGTAGTCCCGAGAACCGCGCGAGGTTTGCTCTGGAGACTTTGAAAGCGCTGATTGAGGTTTATGGACCAGATGTGTCGATAAAGCTCAGTCCAGGTATGGATTTGACTGATCTATGTTGTTGTTGTTTTGACAGAACAAGCTGGCGGGTATAACGATATGGGTATGCCTTTGCAAGAGACTATCGACACATATGGTTGTCTTCTGAGCGAGGCGGACAAACTCGGGCTCGCGTATGTGACGCTGGTGCGATACGCTGAGTCCACCGATGTCGAGTATGATGGTGGGCATTCCTGGGCGTGTTGGTTGGCTTGACGCTGACTTGAAATAGGCAAGAAACGCGCGACGAAACACGACGTCGTTGGGACCTTCAAGCCCTTTTTGAAGAACACACCGCTCTTTGTGAACGCAGGGGTTACTCCTGAGGAGGCCGAAGAGCTTGTGAGCAATGGGACGGCAGCCGGTGTCTTTTTCGGGTTGCCTATGGTGACCCACCCAGACGTGGGCAATCGCATTCGGCAGGGAAAGCCTTTAGACAACGCCCCTGACTTTGTGCACTTGTATGGGGCTGAAGGTGTGGACCCGGCCATAGGTTATGTTGATTACCCAGCTGCCACTAGTACTTGAACGTGAATAGAAGTAGACAGAAAGGAATGCGTTTGTTTTGTTCACAAGCGTAGTATTGTGTATACGGCATCAGTGTGCGTCTAATGGTGATGCCGGGCTCCACATACTTCCTCCGACAGAGAAGAAAGGCCAATGGAAGGAATCAGGATCAAGGGGCAGTAAAATTGACGTTCCGTTTGCCCAGGCTTTCGACGATTCAGAGTTGGCTGTACAAGCAAAGCATTGGGTACACCCAGGCAGGGATTATGGAATGAAATCAGGTTGAAACACTGTTGGTGGTCGTGGCACGAGGTGAAGTTTGTCTTGGAAAAGGACATCGAGGACCGACACATCTTGATGACCCAAGTGTCAGAAACATCAAGCATGTGCGAAGCGGCTAACTGCTGCTTGTTCTTGTCTCTGAACGCGGAGGAGGAGGCATACGACGGGGAGGTCAGTGTTACATACAAGCCGTGGAGCCAAAAAAGACTGACATGAGGCTCTTTTCTCCAGGCCACCACTCACGCTCTTTAAAATCATAGACAACCCTAATTCTTCATGCATGTCGCCACCCGCCAAATGGATGCAACGGAACTCGCTCGTTGGACCCGTTTTGCGGCAAAGGGTGGTATCGGAAAGGCCACCGCGATTGGAGACTGTGTTGCAGAGGCCCCAGACGAGCTTATGTTCTTGAAGGTCCGCTTCATCTAGTACTCCACTGCTCCCTTTCCCATACTCCATAGAACGATGAAATTGTTGTTTTGCTTCAATTCACCGACGAGGACAACATGTTCCTGGTGCGTCTATTCGCTTCGCCATGAAAATAGCTCATCTCACTTCAACAGGGCTTTTGTGAGGGGATCGTCGGTCGGTTTCGTGCAGCCGATGTTTATTTCCACTCCAAACTCAAGAAGCCCGTCATGACCAAACGCTCGTCAGTGTCGTCAGGCAAACTCACGCCCACCCCTTCCATTGTTGCCCCAAGTCCCGTTCCCTCGCCAAAATCCGATGTTAGCTTTCAAACCGCTCAAGCACGCTACCAACCTAATTCCTCAGAGGCCTTGTCGCCGAGTTCAAGCCTTTCTTCGACATCTCCACCGCTTTCCCATTCCGTCTCCTCGTCGTCTTCAGGGACTATTGTTGACACTCCCACAAGTCTCTACCCATCTCCAGAGCCCATAACCCAGACTCAGCCATTGGATACTTCAGCCCCGGCGACCTTCATCGAAACTAACGTTGATGGTCAGGACAAGGTGATCGAAAACGAGGAGTCAGAGGTTGCTCCTGGACGAAATCGGCGCTCAGAAACTGCTGCAGTCGAAATGTGGCCCTCTTCCCCTTCAACGACCCTGAGTCGCAAACCGGTCAATGGATCTCGACTGGCACTCGCAATGGAAACCGTCAACAGCGACGAAAGCGAATCAGAACATCATAGCCCCAAGGGAGACCGAGACAGCGACAATAGTAGCAGTGATGAGCGATACAGCCCGGAAGATGAGGAGGGGGGCTGGGCCAATGTCCCTGCAACACTCCCGCTTCAAGTGGTGAAACTGAACACTCCCAACTCCGCGATACCGCCATCCCCCTACCAACCCATGTTCTTTCCTCCATCATCTACTTCGTCAGATAACAATGTTGAATCGCAGTCCCTCAGCTCTGCCAGCGGAACGGACACGGAGTCTGAATATGATAGCTCGGATCCCGAGGACCAAGATACGACCACCAAATTTCCTGTGCCTCCTGATCGACGAAGTCTTTCGCCTACTTCTCCACGCATAATCGACACCAGCCGTCGTTCGTCGGCTTCTTCTACCCAAGATCCAAGTCGCTTATCAATCGCTGCGCCGTCGGTTCATTCAGAAGATGGCGAAGTTGGTATTGGTCTATCGTTGCTTCAGGGTCTGGCAGCCGCTGGCGAAGATGCCTCTGACGACGAAGACCTCATTCCTCCAGTTAGGGCACGTGATGAGGCCCGCCGAAGCATCAGCTCCTCAGTCAGAAGTGGTCAAGATTGGGACGGCGCTTCAATCTACGACAACTATTATCGATTTTCGAGGTCACGGTCCTCTGGGTCGACTTTTGCATCTCTCAGGATGGCACCGCAAATTCCTCATGGCTCTCAGCGTGGAGTTGAAGATGTACCACCCGTTCCTGCAGATTTGCGTCATGATTCAGAATCTGAAAGGAGTCGTCCGCGCGAGGACAAACGGCGCTCTGCTGACTCTGATGCTTCTGTCTACACACAAGCCTCCAAGGTTTCATCCATAGATCACACTCGCTTGACTGCCGAGCCTCTTGCGAAGCCGCCCTCGAAACACCGACCCGCGTCATTAGATCTACTCAACAGTAATGGCGAACCATCTCCGCTTCTTCATACACGTTGGGGAAGCCCGAATAGTTCGATGTCCCCGCCCTCATCTTCAGGGGCTCAAACAGCCTTTTTCAATCCTACTTCTGGTGGTTTACCTTCCACCGGCTCTAGTGGGAGTAATAGCCCTGGCGGAGCAGCTAGTATTCTACGGCAGCGACTAGAACTCGAGCGCGGGAGCCCGGCAGGTAGTAACTACGCCGAAATGGAGCCTCGAGAAGAAGGGGAAGGGGGTTTGGGCAGCGGGATTGTAATTGACGATGATGAAGAACCACCGCAAGCTTCCATGTTGGATGGGCCCACGTCTGAGTCTCCGGATGAAGACGGTGATGAAACTGTTGAAGGCGAGGACACAGTTGAGGGTATAAACTTGGAGGAATTACAAGAGAAGCCTGGGCTTGCGCCGCTTGTAATCACAGAAGATTCTGTCGATCCACCGACAGCTGTTGCTTCTCCTTCCGCGACTAACTCAACCTCGCCGCATTCTCCGCGTTCTTCGGCGGCAACGACTCCCCTTTCGCCTTCCTCACCACCAGATATTTCTCCTCCTCCTTCACAGCAACCACTTACTTCCAATCATCAACCCAAACCTTCGTTATCGGAATTGCGAGGCTACATGTCGAACCACAAAGCCTCAGAATTCGACCAGCCTGCTCAACGGACAAGCTTGTTTCTTCCTCACCCAAATGCCCCCAAAGCTCCACCTCCGACTAGTGGTGCGGAGGGTCCCATGTATATCAGACCGGCACCACCGCCGTCTCAACAACGTAGCGAAAGCGTCGTCAACATCATTAGGATGTCGATTGGCCGGTCTGCAGTGACAAGGGTTTCGCCCACCATCTATGGGAGAATAGAGGGAGATTTAACGAGTGCGACTGGTCCAGTTCGGGTCACGTTCAGTATCGACCCACCGCCGCCTGTTCCCCAACTGCCAAGCCGTATTCCGTTTAGAAATGGCGTGGCGTCACCAGCACCAGCACCTCCACTTCCTTCGGGTGCCCCGCCTCGACCAGCTCCCAGAAGGGCAGCAACGATGTCTGAATCTGACCCTAAACCACCTTCAACGCCAAGCCCCTCCACAACCGTGGTCCCCAGTCCCGCATCTTCGACACCGAGCATAAGCTCTCCATTGGCTTCAGCCTCAGCTAATCCGGCACCACCCGAACCAAGAACAGGCGCCATTCCCAGGCCTAATTTCTTCCCGAAAGTTGGGACTAGTCGGCCAAGATCAAGGAGCTTTAGTGGTTTTAACACGTCCCATATATCACCACCAATGCCGATCAGGTAGTTTTATTTCTTGTAGTCCTTTTTTTGCTCATTTCCTTGTAGTAAGGAAGACCCGGGCAGACTAAGTGCCCAGAAGCCATCCCGCTCCATGTCCAGTCTTGCAGCGCCTGTTGCTGGTCCTTCATCTTCATCCTCTCAGCCTACTCCTCCTCCAACCTCATCGTTGGGTAAACACGCTTCAAGAAGCTCTCTTCGTCCATCACCTCTCTCTCTGCCGCAGAACAACAGTGTACTGGGCGGAAGATCACCGACTAGTCCGCTGGCAACATCATTCACGCCATCTTCGCCGGTTACGGCTCGACCACATCAATTACGGCAAGCTTCTTCCCGCTCAACGCTGAACGAGGGTCGGCCATCGCTATCTCGACAGGCCGACGCGCCGGGAGCCTCTCCAATTCAAGAACGGCCTTCTGTTGATGTGGGAGGGCTAGCACCCAGTCGAGAAGCACTCCGCACCAAGCTGTCTCTCCCAAATCTGCGGCGGATGCAAAGTCGACAAAGCTCGGATTCGCCTTCGCCAACGGTGCAACACGACAACATGGACTTTGAACTCGTGATGCCAAATCGTGCCATGTTTGATCAGGCATCAGGGAGGACCAGCGAGGACTCGACTTTGGGCAGGGAGGCTTCGATAGATGGGCGGACGTCTGAGATGAGGAGAACAGACAGTCCAGCGTTGTCGATTACGTCAACTCAGGCGTATTCGGGGTCGGATAACAACTCAGTTGATGCTCATCGACAACGAGAGCAGAAGTGGCTGACGCTTATTGGCATCGTTTCTCCTGCGCAAGCCAAGAAGAGCAAGAAAGTGAAGAAACTGTTGATGGATGGCAGTGTCCCGTCCTCAGTTCGCTTCCTTGTCTGGTTGCTGTTGACGGATGGAAAGGGCAAGGCGATCCCGGGGGTGTATGCCCAGCTGGGCAAGAGAGCGCGGGTAGCGGCTCTGGATATCATTGAACGTGATGTTCAGCGGTGCTTTGCGGATCACCCGCATATGCATAGCAGCCAGTCTTCGCTGGTCACATTGCTGCAGGCGTATCTGACCATGGTGCCGGATGTGCAGTACTCGCGAGGACTGACTCTGATTGCGGGTCACTTGCTCGCGCTGTCGCCTGAAGAGGATGCGTTCTGGATATTTGTGTCTGTCATGGACTCGTATCTGCGACCGTATTTTTCGTCAAGCACCACCCAGTTGGAAGTCGATGCATCTTTGTTCAGTCGTGCTCTGGAGGCCAACGACCCACAGCTTGGCAAGAAGATTCTGGTTGAGCTGGGTATCAATCCCGTTGACTTGTGTCGACCATGGTAAGTTTATTTGTGAACATATTAATCCGGCTGACGTTGGTATAGGTTCTCTACTTTGTTTTCTGATGCCCTCCCGCTGGAATACCTGAACAGGGTTTGGGACTTATTCCTGTTTGAGGGTGGGTGTTTTGCTGCATTCCTCACAATGTTTCTCAGCATTTTTCCAGGCATACCCTTCTTGTTCCGCGTCTCTCTTGCTTTATTTCACTGCTGTCGGCGACGCCTGCTCGAAGCGCGGAGTCCTGACGCGCTGTTTGATATTCTTGCCCAACCACCCACTCCGCCTTCGCCTGACGCGCTGATTACGATGGCGCTTGCCGTCAAGCTGAAGGACGACGACATCCGAAAGTCGCGCGAAAAGCAACGTGCGCAGGTCGAGGCCCAGATGAAGCGCCAGACACAGGGCCCACGCCCTAGCACGGTTTCCGCGCGCTCGCTCTCTGGTTCACGCCAAATAGGCCCTCCGATTTGATCCTGCTGCTGTCCATGTCTATATATCTGTCCTTCTTCTTCTTCTTACGCTAGATTTTTTGGTTGTTTTTTATGGATCACTCGCTGCAAGTTATACTATCGCAATACCGCATTTTGTATTATACCTATGAACAGAACTGAGAAATGTTGATGATTTGGATTCCAACTAAGTACAAGCCACTTGTTTATATATGTGATTCTACCACCCTTTGGGGCTGAGTGTTATTTTGGATAGTGGCTTTTATGCTACACTAGAGGTAGTTCTTACCCATCCTCTTATGGTACTGTATATGGTTCAATTCATATTTGACAGACAGATTGATCAATCTAAGTCACTGCTTTCTGAGTGTTTTGGGGGCCTTATAACAATATCATGAGTAAGTATAAGAGCAACTCCAGAGGTGTCAGGGGAACCTCCCCCTCGACTTCCCAGAGATGAGTCCGAGTCTGTTTCCAGTCCAACCCCTTTCTTGCCGGCACCATCACAAATCCATTAACACCCTCCCAATGGTTGCCCTGGGACCTTGCCTATGACACCGCCCAAGCCTTTGGTGCCTGACAGCAAGCTACGGACAAGCAGTATATAAGCAGGTGGACCCTTAGAGTTTCTTCTCTTTGGATCCTCTCCTGCTAGGTCAGCTCCATTTGTATTTGCTTACCAATGTCCACACTTTGGATTCTCCCCTGCTAGGACCTTGATCTCAGGCCTCCAGGGTTGTTCTTACATAATTAGACTAGTAACTCATAGCCACTAGGTGGTTAGAAGGCTCTCCTAATATAAACACAATTACTATTAACAGGTACATAGGATTATCTTTTATCTAATTTAAAAGGATCATTAGATTGGATATCATTGATAAATGCTTGCTGATGTCAATCCAGGGCAATCACAAAGCTATAGTATCTGGACTGTAAGTAGCACCTCAGGGTAGTTTTAAGCAAAAAGTATGATTGATAAGAGACAGAAGTTGCTCAGTTAAACCATTCTAACTAAGTACTTATAAGAACTACAGGGTATTTACAGACCCAAGTCATCAACAAACTATGAATCTGCCACTGCTGAGCCATATGTTACTGTTGCTACAAAGGTATCCCAGAATATTTCTGATCTTCCAGCCTGATGTTGTTTGTTATGCAAGTATCGACTGTTATTAGTCTCCTCTTGCTCTATAAGTTCTTGAGACTCATCATAATCACCAGATAAAATCCCTTGCTGTTGTATATGATACATATTTACATTCTCAGAGCAGACATAAACCTTGATGTAGGTGACAGAGATAGGTTGTTCTGGTTTTAATCTGAGTGTAAGGGCAACCCCGGAGGCCTGAGATCAAGGTCCTAGCAGGGGAGGATCCAAAGCGTGAACATTGGTAAGCGAATACAAATGAAGCTGACCTAGCAGGGGAGGATCCAAAGAGAAGAAACTCTAAGGGTCCGCCTGCTAGGTAGCTGACTATATACTGCTTGTCCGTAGCTGCCGCTGTCGGGCACAGAAGGCTTGGGCGGCGTCGCAGGCGAGGTCCCAGGGCGACCGTCGGGAGGGCGTTGACGGATCGGTGATTGTGCGGGCGAGATGGAGGGCCGGACCGGAGTCGGACCGGAGTCGGACCGGAATCGGGCGCGTCTCCGGGCCGAAAGGGAGGTTCCCCTGACATCACCCCCCCTTTGAATGCGGCGTCCCGACGCATAGACCGGAACGGAATCGAGTCGAAGGGTCGCGGAGGCGATGTGTCGTGGCTTGCCGGGGTACTTACGATAGAACTCCGCAATTTTCTCCGGGGCGAAGACACGGTCGAAGCGGACCCATTGGTCGTGCGATGCGTCGTAGCCTTTCCATCTGACGAAGTAGTTCAGCCGTTTATACCTCACCCTTGCGTCCAGGATTTCCTCTACTTCCCACTCCGGGACTCCGTCCTCGAGGTCCGGAGGGGCTGGCGCCGGGCGTCCGTCGAAGGGGTCATCCTGGGCGAGCTCGAGCTTGACGACGGGGAAGACCGGGTGGAGCTTCGAGTAGCGCGGAGGAAGGTCGAGCTTGTAGGCACCTTTGCTGATCTCCGCGACTATCTTGAACGGTCCAAGGCGGCGATGGGAGAACTTTTCCGAGGGGCGAGTCGTCCTGATGTCAGAGGCATCTAGCCAAACACGGTCGCCAACCTTAAACTCCGGAGACGGAGTCCGTCTCCGGTCGTAGTAGCCACTTGTACTCCTCTTTGGCCTTAGTGAGCGCGGCCTTGGCTTCAGCAACACCAGTGGCGATCCGGTCGCGGAACTCGTTCACTGACTCCATGGCGGAACGGACTCCGGGTTCGAAGCCCATGCGCGGGAGCCGTCCCGTGTCCGTCATGAAGGGGACCTGCTGCGTGGAGGAGTGAACATGGTTGTTGTAGGCGAACTCCCTGGCCGGAATCAGTTCATCCCAGTCGTCCTGCTGGTAGTTGGTGAAGATCCGCAAGTACTGCTCCAGCTCCTGGTTGACGCGCTCTGTCTGACCGTCTGTCTGCGGGTGGTATGCGGTGGACGTGGCGGGCTTGATGCCGATTAGACGCCAAAGTTCTTGGGTGAAGTCCGCGATGAACTGCGAGCCGCGGTCGGAGACGTACTTATCCGGAGTCCCATGGTGCCGCCAGACATTCCGGTAGTAGAGGCGGGCTGCCCCTACTGCATCGACCGTCGTATGACACTCCGAGAAGTGGGCGCGCTTTCCGAGGGTGTCAACGACGACCATAATCGCGTCGTACCCATGGGCTTCGGGAAGCTCTACGATGAAGTCGACGGAGACGGTATGCCAGCGTTCGGGGCGTTTCCGTGGGGTGCAGCTCTCCGTGGGGCAGTCTCCGGAGTGCCTTGGTGCGACAGCACAAGTCACAGGTCGCGACATACCGGCCGATATGGCGAGACATCTGAGGCCACCAGTAGTTCCGGGAGACCAACTCCAGGGTCTTGAAACGACCTGCGTGTCCGGCGACTCGGGTGTCATGGCAGAGCTCGATGATGCGTCTCCGGAGGTCCTTGTCCTTTGGTACGACGATCTTTCCTCGGAAATGGAGAAGACCGCCGGAGACGGCCCACTCGTCAGAACGTGAGGAGCGGGGGCCTCGAGCTTGACCTTGAACCTTAAGAAGTTGCCGGGCCGCTAGTGCGACGGGCTCCTCTAGGTCTGGCTCACCGGAGAGGGCATCACGGATGTCGCGGAGGAGTTCAGAGCCGGGACCGGAAACGGAAACACCCTCGAGTGCGCGGACGTGGAAGAGTTCAGGCCGCAGAAGGACGACATCGGAGTTGTCGGAATCGACTCCATGGTCGGGTCTCCGGGAGAGGGCGTCAGGCCGACCCATATCGCGGCCAGGCTTGTGGTGCAGCGTGAAGTCGAACCGGGAGAGGTACAGAGACCACCGGGCCTGTCTCCGGTTGAGGTGCTGCGTCTTCCTAAAGTACTCCAAATTCTTATGGTCAGTCCAAATCTCGACAGGGTGCGCGGCGCCCTCGAGGAAGTGTCTATACTCCTCGAGTGCGCGGATGATCGCGAGCATCTCCTTGTCGTGGATTTCGTAGTTGCGCTGGACATCATTTAAGCTTTTGGAATAGAATGCTACAGGGTGCCACTTCCCGTCCGGGGCGGATTGTGAAAGAACCGCCCCCCGTCGCATAATCAGAGCTGTCCGCCTCAAGTCGGAAAGGCCGTGCGTCGTCCGGAATCGCCAGGACCGGTTCCGAGGTGACCGCGTCCTTGATCGCTTGGAACGCGGAGGCCTCCGCGCCGCCCCAAGTCCATTGCTGGTCCTTCTTGGTGAGCACGAAAAGAGGGCGCGCAAGGGTCGAGAAGTCCCGAATGAACCTGCGGTAGAAGTTAGCGAACCCAAGGAACTGCTGAATGTCCTTCTTGTTTTCCGGAGTCGGCCAAGCGGAGACGCCTGCGACTTTGACAGGGTCCATTTCGACGTGGTTGTGGGAGATGATGACTCCGAGGTACTCGATTGACGATTTTTCAAAGTCGCACTTCTCCGCTCGAAGGTACAACTTGTGCTCCCGGAGTCGCCGTAAGACCTCCTGGACAATCTGCCGGTGTTTCCGGAGGTCGGAATGGGCGATCAGGATGTCGTCAAGGTAGATCATGACGTCTCCGGAGAGGATGAGATCCTGGAAAATGTCATTCATCATCGTTTGGAACGTCGCGGGAGAGTTTGTCAGGCCGAAATACATCACCAAGGGCTCGAACAGGCCTCGGTTAGTCCGAAAAGCCGCTTTCCACTTGTCACCTTCCTTGATCCGGACGTTGTTGAAGCCCCAACGGACGTCGAGTTTGGTGAAGTAACGAGTGCCTTTGAGCCGGTTGATGAGGTCGTTGATCAGCGGAAGGGGGTACCGGTTTTTGACAGTCATCGCGTTGAGAGCACGGTAGTCCTGGACGAAGCGGAGTCCGCCGTCCTTCTTCTTGACGAAGAAGACCGGAGACGCCATCGGAGACTTGGAGGGGCGAATCCGGCCCGTCGAAAGCCCTTCCTCGATGAACGCGTCGAGCTCGCGTTGCTCGAGGGGCGAGATGGGGTACACCTTGCAGTTGGTCGGCTTAGCGTCGGGGACGAGTTCGATGGCGTGGTCCCAGGTTCTCCGTTCCGGGAGCGTGTCGAAGGACTCCTTGTTGAAGACGTCCTGGAACTCCTTAGCCCAGTCCGGGATCTCGGAGGACGGTGGGGCGGAGTTCTTGGCGAAGGCTTCGGCCAGACGCTGTGAGACGGTGCTACCTGCGCATATCTCCTCTGAGGGACGGAACGAGGTGTAGAAGATGCGGTCACCATCTTCGAGCTGGTCATCTTCGTCATCCGAGTCCGAGTCCAGCGTCAGATCAGGCAGGTCGGAATCGAGACCGGAATCGGAATCGTCTCCGTCCTCAGGGCCAGAGAGGTCCATAGTGCAAACCGAGGGGAACGGGCCGGAGCGGAGACGCTTCTGAAGCGACCGGAGTCGCCGCAGCTCGGTCCGTTCGACGCGCTCTTCCTCACG